GAATAAGTAGAATCTAGAAGCTTGAAAAATAGGTATTGAGATTCCTTGATATATTTAGGGGAGATAAAATGAGCAATTCGAGCAAAATTTAAACGAATCGATAAAAAAGAGTTATTGTCTAGTTCTATCTAAAAAGTGATGGATTAATAATGTTTTGAAGACAATGAGCCAAACAATGATATACATGAAAAAATTGTGTAAGTATATGAAAATGTCATATTTTAAAAAAAATCTAAATCTTAAGTGATTATAGAAGATCATTTTTTCGTTTGTGCTTGTGTTATTTGTGTATATAAAAATTAGAGTATGATTATTGGTCGAGTTTATTACCTAATCTTGAATTGTTTTTATTGTGTGTATGTTCTTGTATACTTTTTTACCCCTTTTTTTTTTCTTATTTGTAATCTAAAATCTGATTTGGATTCCAAAATTTCTTTTGCAGATTCCCAAAAACTGAAAAAAGATATTGAAAAATATTTCTCTACATTTTTTGGAAACAAACAACAAAATATATTTTTTTTAAATTGTGCTCGGTTGGTAAGCACCCCTCACTTCCAATCCGAAGGTTGTGAATTCGAGTTACCAAGGGAGCAAAAAGGGATGGAAGCTCCTAGGAAGGGTTTAAAAAAAAAAAAAAGATTAAGAAAAAAATAAAATAAAATATTCTAGTCTGTTCAAAAGTAAATATAGTCAATTGATACACATGTAAATGAATATATTATAATATATATATACACATAGCTCCATCATCTGTCTTATGAATTCATTTTGCTTTATCTTTAGCTAAGTCTATATATACTAAATTTAATATTTATACGTCTTTCAAAACCACATCCTTTCGTTTTTTTTTTATTTTAGTTCTGTCACTTCTTCATTATAACGTCTTTACTCACCATAATTTCACATATGTAAAATAGCTATATTTGTAAATTGACGAAAGACTTATCAATCCATCTCAAGCCATCTTCATTCATTTTATCCTCGAGAGATTAAACTAAATACACTCAGAAATTGTGAAACCAAAAAATCATTTTTAAAAGGAAAAAACTATATAGTTAGACATACTTTAATATATATATATTCAAAATATTACATATTTTATCATTAATTATGAATTTTCTATCACATATCGAGAAAAATACACTTAGATACATGCATTATTACCAGATAAGAGAGAGAGGTGATCAAGATTTGTTATGTATCTAGGATAAATGCAAATCACACTAGATACACACTAAATAAATGTATCTAGTGTGATTTGCATGTATCTGGGATACCAATGAGCAAGATTTGTTACGAATCGTATATACATGCAAATCCACTTGGATACAATGTGTCTAGATAAAATTACACCTACTTTTATCTTCATGTATTCTGAGATACATGTATCTGAACATATCTGAACGCACCAAAATTTGATAAGATACATAATATTACAAACTAGAATATATCTAAATAATTAACTTCTAAGCTAAATGAAGTATTAAAAGTCAAACACTATACAATATTCAAAAAGAAGAAGAACACAAGTTAAACTAGTGTACAAAAAGCATAACCAAATAAATAAATAGTATACAAAAATAAATAAAATCACAAAAAAAAGAATACGAATCACTACCCATATTACGACTAAACGACACAAAAAAAGTAATTGCAGAGCATGTGGGTTGTGGACCCCACTCTTATTTACTCCAAATTGGGTCCCACAATACTGACGTGGTGTCCTCTATGGGTCCCACCTTAAATGCGTTTTATTTTTTTTTCTAAAAATAATTTTGTGCGCTCCAGCTGCCTCGAAAAACGAGCGGATTTCAAATCTATATTTAAATTTAATTAATAAAATTTTTGAAAACAAAAATAAAGTTGGACAAAGGTACAAACAGTTGTGCATTAAGGTACAAACGATTTATACTTTTGGTTAATGTTGGGATAAGATACGACAGCTGTATTTTACTGACACGTGTCCGTCCTAATTATTTTTCCCTCTCTTTTTTTTCGGGTTTTTGGTTTTTTTTTTTTTGAACCGGCTAAGGTTGGCTCGGCTTATGAGCTTGGAATGTGAAATTACTTTTATGCACTTGGTAAAATAAAACGATGTTGTTGGGTGAATCTTAGATAGTTGATGCAGTTGCTGGAGATGTACCAGACAAGGTAGTAGTACTAGAAAATCAATATTCGTTTTGAGATTCGATTAATAAGAATTGTGGTAGAACGATAAGTACTTTTTTTGGGTTTTTGAGTACGAAATCGTTTTTGTTAGAGAGTGCTCTCAATATGGGATTGTCCCGTGTGAATTCAAATTTAGTCGGGTTTGAATGTAAATTTACGGAGTCGCATTCGTTGAAGAGCGATTTACCTCCAATATAGGATTGTCCGGTGTGAATCCAAAATTTAGTCAAATTTTAATGCGAGATCGTTAAAGGTTGTAGTAGAGTGGTAAGTTATCTTTCATCCTTAATCAGAGGTCTCGTGTTCGAGTCCTATTGGATACGGAGAATGTTTTACTTTCAATGCGAGACTATCCGACGCAAATACAAATTCAATCGGACTTCAATGTGGGTATACTCAATGTGGGTATACATAGTCGTATTTGTTACTCCAATGTGAGGTTTATATAGTTGTCTTTGCTAGAGAGCGTTTTATCTATCCCAATATGGGATTGTCCAACGCGAATTCAAATTTAGTCAAAATTTAACGTGAGTATACAAAGTTATCTTTATTAAAGAGCTTCTTTATTAAAAAGCATTTAACCTACTCTAATATGGAACTGCCCGACGCGAACTCAAATTAAGTCGAACTTTAATGTGGGTTGGTTCAATATAGGTATACTCAATGTGGGTATACATATATAGTCGTATTTGTTACTCCAATGTGAGGTATATATAGTCGTCTTTGTTAAAGAGTGTTTTACCTGATGAGATTGTCCGACGTGAATTTAAATTTAGTCGAACTTTAATGTGAGTATACAAAGTTATCTTTATTAAAGAGCGTCTTTGTTAGAAAGCATTTTACTTACCCCAATATGGGACCGTCTGACGCGAATTCAAATTTAGTCAAACTTTAATGCGAATATACAAAGTTATCTTTATTAAAGAGTGTTTTATCTCTAACGTAAAACTGTTCAGCGCAATCTAAATTTAATTGAATTGTATTACGAATACTAAACATCGAATATGAATTCAAAATAAATAAATAAATTTGATTAGGGATAAAGTAAAATTTATCTCGGCATCAAAATCTTCAATAATTTTGAATTATAGGGGTAGTTATTCTCGATTATGTGTCCTTTCACATAATGAATGCAACACTATTATTTTGACATTATCAACTCTTTAATTTCCACATTATTAATGTTTGGTATAAGTTCTGGACTTGGTAGAGATGTACAATATTTTTTAGTGATAATAGATGATTAATTGATTACTTTCATCAATTTAATATGAGTCCGGAACCTAAAGGGCAAAAAAAATGGTCAAAAATTCCAAAAGGGCACATCACTTTTTATTTTAGCCAAAAGGGCAAAATCGCTGCGTCAGCAGCGATTTTCCTCTGACAAAATGACAAAATCGCTGCCCTAGCAGCGATTTCGTCTAAAAAAAATTTTTATTTTTTTTTATTAAAAATCGCTGCCACAGCAGCGATTTTGTAAAAAAAAATTATTTTTTATTAAAAATCGCTGCTGTGGCAGCGATTTTTAATAAAAAAAAATAAAAATTTTTTTTAGACGAAATCGCTGCTAGGGCAGCGAAATGATAAACAAGACGACAGTATACTCAATAAAATTGTTGAAGCATGAGGAAAATTGAATTATATATCATAAATAATAATAAAAGAATATTAAATTAAAAGAAAAACTTTTTTTTTAAAATTCTTAACCAAATTCGCTGCTATAGCAGCGATTTTGAAGAAAGAAAAGTTTTTTTTTTTTTTGAGAAAATATGCAGCGATTTTTATTTTTGTTTTGTCAGAAGCCCTTTTGGTTAATTTTTTTTTTGATGTGCTGTTTTAGTTTTTTTAAAGAAAAAAAAGTAGCGATTTTTAATTTAATAAAAAAAAATAAAAAATTTTTTTAGACGAAATCGCTGCTAGGGCAGCGATTTTGCCCTTTTGGCTAAAATAAAAAGTGATGTGCCCTTTTGAAATTTTTGACCATTTTTTTTGCCCTTTAGGCTCTGGACTCAATTTAATATACTCATAAGATAATAGTAGTAAAATATTGTGATAACGAAAACATAATAAATTATAAATGATAATAGATATCAAAAGCAAGAAGTTGCATGAACATATAAGACTAATACTACGAGAGATACAGAGCTCCAAATTACAACCAAGTCTCATCCAATCGAAAAACAAGACAACAGAACCTCACTATCTACCAATCTTCTACATTAATCTTCGACTTGTAGACCCTCCTACCTAAAGTTATCCCTTATGTAAGTTGAAACTCCGTCATAATTTGTTTAATCACTTTTCTCTAATACTTCGACTACCTCTACCTTTCTTCGTACTTATTATATCTAAAACATCTAACATCAGGACATCAATTCATTCCATCTTTACATGTCCAAATCAACTCGATTTTACTTTCTTCATTTTGTTAATCTCACTTACTGTATCCAAAATATCCTCATATACCGCATTTCCATCCCTATATCTTATAGAGTCTAAATATAAAAAAATTCTTAACTAGCCAACAATCGTTCTCCTACAATAAAATTGATTTAACCTCCCTTGTACCTTTATATGACAAAATTCAAAAGAAAACAGCTCCAAACCAGGAAACATAACTTATTGAATTGTCCCTTTCAAAAAGCCTCGGATTCCTTTGTACACATAAATCTTTCGGCTCAACACTCAACCGACTCAGAGCCGAGCCGGCTCTATTAAGCCGCTAAATATCCAAACCGGCTTCATGAGATAAGGAAGAAAACGCCAAGTGACCGTACAAGTGGGTCTCTCTCCTCTCTCTTCTTTTTTAGCAGCAGAAGAAGAAGCAGGTCGTTTCCATTCCAATGGAAGTTGTGAAGCATTTACTGTATGCATTTTTCTCTCTCTAAAAACTACTGCAAAAACTAATCACTTTCTCTCTCTAGATTACTCAGAAATTTGTGTTCAAACCAGATTGCATTTCAATTGAATCTGATTACAAAATCAATCTGCTCCCTCGGTACTCTGAATCAACTGTATTTGCATTCAAACTGAGGTAACGTAAGCTGTTGAAGGATTTGACGTGTTTGAATTTTTTTTTTCTATAGTTTGTTTTGGTTTGTGTGTTCTACGCAATGTGGAAAAAACTTTTTTTTTAATCTTTTTTTCAAATTGGAATAATTAATAATTCGGAGTTCTTCTCTGATTTGCTGTTTTTTTTGTTTGAATTTGATGAATGGATTCGGCATGATTGATAGGTTTTGAGTTTCAGTTTTTTTGAAGTTTTACATTGAAAAAATGATTCTTCTTCTTCTTCTCTTTTTTCACTTTGAGATTAATGATTGTGAGCTCTTATCTAATTTGCAGTTTTTTTTTGTTTGAATCTAATGAATTTGTTGAACGGATTTCAGCATGATTGATTGGCTTGAGTGTCAGTTTTTTGAAGTTTTACCTTCGGATATTTGCTTCTTCTTTTTTTCACTTTGAAATTAATGATTTGTGAGCTTTTTGTTTGAGTCTACTGAATTTGTTGAACGGATTTCAGCATGATTGCTTGGTTTGAGTATCACTTTGTTGAAGTTTTACATTGAGAAATTATTAATTTTTCTCTAATCGATTGAATTTGTTGAACGAATTCAGCATGATTGCTTGATTGAATGTCAGTTTTTTGAAGTTTAATATTGAGATTTTTGCTTTTTTTTTTCTTTTCACATCGAAATTAATATTGAATGTCACTTTTTTGAAGTTTTACATTGGGAAACTGATTTTTTTGTAGTCACATCAACTATTCTGATTTACAGTTTTTTTTTTATATTTAAATTTTTTTGGTAAACATGATTGATTGCTTGAGTTTTAGTTTGTTTGATCTTCAATTCAATGAGAAAATACTTTTTTTTGTTGTTAATTTCTCTATTTACCTCTCTCTTTTTTTTTCTTCAATTTTTTTGTCACTATTTTGATACTTTATGCATTGAGAAAAGTCCAATTTTCCCAGTCAAATAAACAATTCTTAGCTCTTCTAAGCTTTGCAGTTTTATTAATTTTAGTTGTCTTTGTCAAGTGGAAAATATTCTTCTAATCAAATTTAAATTAGCAGAATTGCGATTAGCGAACATGTAGTGTATATATTCTACATGTTAGCTAAGAAGGATTTTTGTTTCTAATTTTGATTGAATTGGATATGCTTTAGAAATAAGGTATCTACTTTTTTATAGGCAGTAGATTATAGTGGATCATGCATTCTTGCATTTATTACTCATGCTGAATCCGTGACTTGCAGAAATTTAATTGCTTGTTAGCTCATAGCATTCAACATTCCATAAGAAATTTCGTGTCTGTCTATCAGATCTTAAACATCACTCTCTTTTTGTGTCTCTCCTTTGAGTATATATATGGCTGTATGAAAATGCCTTATTTGATGGCTACCTTTTTGACATTCTTGATAATCGCTTTTTCAGGATTTTCGTTAGCTTGATTGATTCTGGTTCTTGAAACTTAGAAAATTTTTAGTCTCGATTGTGAGGTGAATCGCGTTCTTAGGACTGGAGATTCTATAGAAAGGTATCTGAATTGAGATTCTTGGGGTTTAGTTCTGTACTGGAAGTTGAAGTTTTATCTGCTACCAAGTTTGCTGTTATTGGGGATTTGTTATTTCATTGTCTGATCATGATGAGGACGAGCAAGGGAGAAAGAATTAGTCACTATATAGAATTCCGTAGTTTGGTTCCAGAGTATCAGTAGCTGATTCAATTCTGATTTCCGTTGCTATCTTCATTGGGGTCACTGATTAGTTAGTTGTTGAGACGAGCAAAATGCTGGAGACTCAGTTATGTCCTACTCGGGTGTTATCACCTTTCCGTGAAGAGAGTGGAGATGAGGAGTTGTCTGTACTTCCGAGGCATACCAAAGTTATTGTGACGGGAAACAACAGAACCAAGAGTGTTTTGCTGGGGCTTCAGGGAGTTGTCAAGAAGGCTGTTGGGCTTGGTGGTTGGCATTGGCTGGTGAGTCCTTCATTCTTTTTCGATCGTGTATATTATTCCAAAAATGACTCTTCCTAATTAACTGTTGAACTGCTATATCCATTTGATTGTGGAATTAGTAGTATTAAACTTATTTGTCTCAAAACTATGAAGGTCCTGAAAAATGGGGTTGAAGTCAAGCTACAAAGAAATGCATTGAGTGTGCTAGAGCCTCCCACGGGGGATGAAGATGAGGACGATTATGACTTTGATGACTCGACCAGTGGTTCAGAACTTGGTGAAAAAGAAAACCATCACTTTGGTTAGTCTCCATTATCTGAACTTTGTTTTATCAGTTATTCTAATTCCTGAAAAAGGTTTCTTATTTGATTATAATCCTTGTATTTGGAAGCTACTGGTGTCGTATACAGAAAAGTGAGCAAGCCTAGAGTTCGATATACAAGGCCATGGGCCTTATCTGGACCACCAAAGACAATGAACCGTGGCAATTGCAGAGACGTTGAAACTAACTATTTGCAACCGGTAAGCACATAAAGTAGAGTTCATCTTGTCCAGTGTTTGAGCTGATGTTGTGGTATTACAGAAACTCATTGGTAGTTTGTGAATTGTGATGGTCTTGCTTGTTTTCATTAAACTGTTTCATTTTCGGACTATCAGAGGTTGAACTTGGCAAAACTCGGAACTGGTTCATTATGGAGGTACTGGCGAAACTTCAACCTTGTAAGTTCCTGCCAACACGAATCATTTTCAGAGCTCGATCAAACATGTTACTTCAAGTTAGTAACAGTTTTCGCGTATATGCAGGCACATATTAGCCCTAACCCGACAAAAGAACAACTGCTTAGCGCTGTTCAGCAACACTTTTCGTCACAGGTCTGGTTCATTTTCGTGCTATGCTTAACTACATAAATCTTACTCATCCCCATCTTACCCTAACATCATCCTTACGATCTTAATCTTTTCAGCGAGTTGACGAGGTACAAGTGGTGATGGAATTTATCCGCGCAGCCAAGAAACTAAGATCAACTGACACACATTGAGATTTATCGATGACGATGATAGGGAGGGAAATTTGTGAAGGAAGGTTGGATTATTATCTGTAATATAATGCAATGCATATATAGAGTAAATATTTATGAACCTCTAACTTAGTTCAGCTAATTATAGAACTCTACTAATAGAGACTGGTGGGAGCTTCTTTGTTAGCTTACTCCCCCAAAATTGTCTCCCGGATCCCTAACCTTGTATGATCCGGCCCCGACCTGGACCCTGACCCCGTTAAATATAAACTTCATTTCTAGTGTGAATTTTGTGTTGAAGTTAATCGAGGTGTGCGTAAACTGATTTGAGATGAAGAAAATATCTCAAAACATCATTGTTGTTTTTATTATCATATGATTAAATATGTGGATATGGAAGCCAGGCTGTAAATAGGTGTCACGAGTCAACTAGAAGTTGGCAGATGTAGACTCATTAGTGTGGAGTTATATTTTTATTAAATATATCTACCAACCAAAGAAAATATTATATATTTGTGCAACAAAACCTAACATTGGCTTTAAGATTAATAATATTTGAAAGTAAAAATGAATTATTATATGAGAGATTGAGAATAGTCCCTTTCTCTTCACGTTATAATATTAAAAGTTGGTACCAAAACAATTCTATTATTGGTCCCTACAAAAGATTTTGTGCAAAAGGGTAGGGAGACTTATTTGGATTTACTCTATTATTTCTGTTTTAGTGGACCCACTTTGTTCCCTTCACTCTCCACTCGTTTATAATTGAGGTCCACACAAGTTGAATTATGAAAAATATTTGAAATTAATCAAAGTTTAGCAACTTCTTTGTTTGGAAATAAAATTTGGACATAGATATCTCCAATGGTCATGGTTGGATCGAAATAATAGAATGTCATGCGAAAAAATAATAATTGTAAATTTTAAACAATGATAAACAAAGAAAGTACACTCAAACCACATACCTTCGTATAAGAAAATTAATACAAAAGAATATAAAAAATGATCCCCGTGGCGGAGCTAGAAATTTTATTAAGGGGATCCAAGAATAATAGTGTGTGACTCTCAAAATAAAATAAATATATTGGGATATTTGAGATTCGAAACAGAATTTCCTTCATTCAAATAGACACCCATTATGACTGCACCAAAGACATAACTTTTATCAAGAGTGTCCAACTTTAAATATATATTTTTTAAATATAGAATTTGACATATATATAATGTAATTTTCCGACGGAGAGTGTCAACACCCACGGGCGCCCCCCCCCCCTCCCCCACACACATTCAAATCAAACAACTCTTTAAACAACTATAATGTAGATGCGGAAAATAAAGCGACCCAAATATAATTCTTTGCTGAAATAAAACTAAATATGATTAAATAGAAATTTTAGAACAAATCATAACAATAATTTTTTTATACTCGAAGATAATATCTTGAAGTTGAAATTTTAGATATTAAGCTTCAATGCAATTGTATATCATAACAATATTTTAATGACTTAATAAACGGTGACTCTTTTTGAATTAACAGGTCCCAAAAGTAGACAAACCGCACTATTTTTGCATTAAAAATTGTGAGGTGGGAAATATCTTTGTGTTAAATTATTTCTTTTTGTGGTGTTTTCTATGTGAAAGTCAAACAGCAAGTGGAGTGTAAATTCATACTCTCCCGTCCCTAATTACTTGTCTATTTTGACAAATAAAAATCTGATAATTTTTTTTATCTATTATACCCTTAATTAATTATTTTGAAAAAAAGTTTTGAAAATTTTAAAATTTTAATTTATCCACTTCATAATTAATAGGGGTAAAATGATAAACTCACTATGTCAATAATTATTTTCTTAATAGGTGTGTCAATTTCAAAGTGGACAAGTAATTAAGGACAAAGGGAGTATTTAGTCCTCACTTTTCTCCTATTTTATGGAACTCCGAGTTGTTTTGAATACTCATTTCGTTTTAATTTATTTATACTTTATGTGAGTTTATTCATTATCGATAGACCGAGTGAAAACGTTGCTATTGAGTTCCCAACAAGTATTTCATATACTTCATTTCATTTTACTTGATCGTTGTAAAAAAAATAGACGTTACTTTTTACTTGTCAAGAATGATTATGTAAAGAAAGGTAATTAAATAAAATACTCAAATGGAATAAATAGTCATAGTAAAAAAATAGTTTATCCTTTAAGGGATTTAATTATGTTAATCTAAAATTAAAGTTAGAATTAATCTAGCATAAAAATTAGAGCAACTTTCACATATAGCAAACATAAAAATCAAATTTGTATGTTATAGCTATAGTTTGTATAATTGCGCTCCATAACAAACTTTATGTTTGCTATGGAGCATCAGATTGTATAACTCGCTGTCTTCAGATTTGTATAATATCGTTGGCTAACCATTTGTATAAATCGATGTCAGCCTCTCGTTTGTATAAATCGCTAGCACCCTCTCAATTCAATTTTATGTGTTTGTATATCTGCATAAAATTTGAATTTGTATACAATTGAATCGAAATAAAACGTTTGTATATCAAATCTCTCTCTCTCTATCGAGATTTATACAAACATAAATTATACATTGTATTTTGTATAATCTGTGTTTGTATAAAGCGAAAAAGGGAGAAAGACAAAAGAGAACTGGACAGAAGAATATTTGTATTGTATAATTATTAGTGTATAGGATGAAGATATATGTATTTGCATGTGTATATACAATTTTCTCTTGCTTTATACAAACAGAAACATAATTTATACATTTCTGTTTGTATAAGCGAGAGAGGCGAGGGAGAGACTGGCGAGCGAGATCTGGGAGAGGGGAACGAATTATATGTATATATACAATTTTCTCTCGCTTTATACAAACACAAACGCATTTTATACATTTGCGTTTGTATAAAAGCGAGAGTGGCGAGCGAGATTCACCAGGGAGAAAGGCGAAATAACAACAGTTTGCTACAGAGTACAATTAAATCAAACTGTGGTTATGACATTTAATTTGAATTAATAGTTTGCTATTATATACTAAAAATTACAATCAAAAGCATTAAGGTCTTGGGCCAAAGATAATAATATGAATTTAGGCCCAATCCTTAGTTGCTGCTCTTCTGGACTAAAGTATTGGGCCTAACAACTGCTGCATCTCACTTGGGCTTGAGGCCCGTTTTACTGTATATTCAGCTGTGTACCATGTATACATTTTCCTTATATCATGTATATCTATGCGTATGTTGTATATCAGCCTTTATTTTAGCTTCACTTCCTTCTTTGGATAGATAGACAAGACTCAAACAGCAAATGGAGTGTAGATTCGTATTTATTCCTCAGTTTTCTCCTATTATGGAACTCTATGTTTCAAAATGCTCTCTCCGTTTTAATTTATTCATATTTTAAAATATGTGTTCGAGTCAAATCGGATTTCTATATAAAAGGTCAACTAAGCTTAAGTGAGTTTATCCAGTATCGATGGGCCAAGTGAAAACGTTCTTATTGGGTTTCCAACATATATTTATATTCGCTTCCGTTTTTTCATTTTACTTTATTCTTATATCAAAAATAGACGTTTCATTTTTACTTTTTTATTTTAGTAAATTAAGAGAATTTATTATTTTTCCCTTGTACTAACCTTAGTATTAAATAATTACATAAAATAATTGTATTCAAATTTAGAGTTCTAAAGCATCATTAATAAGATTAGTTTGATAAAACAAACCTTTAATTAATTTTTTTAAGAGGTGTGTCAAGCCAAAAATAAAAAAAAATGGCCATTTACAAACCTCAAAGAGAAAATGGTGAATTCTTGTGAAAAAATGGTCATTCGTTCATGAATTTTGCCACATACATTTTTACAAAAGAAATAATAAATCAATGGCCTTTCTTGATACACACATTAATACATAAGGTATTCAATATATAACTTATGTATATTATGTATATGTTGAATAAGAGCCAAAAAAAATAAAATAATCATTTACAAACCTTAGAGGGGAAATGGTGAATTCTTTTGAAAAAATGGTCATTTGTTCATGAATTTAAGGAATTTCATACTTCCACTCATTAGTATAACTTATATATATAAAAATCATCACTTTATTTACATTTTGATTCAAAATCAACGCAGCAACCATGTATTGCATGGACCTTAAGTCAACTATACTTGTAAGTAATTAATGTATTCTTATATATGTTTAGAATTGTATATAATCAAATATATACTAATTTTCTTCATCCCTTTTTTTTTCTCTGTGATAGTGTTTTGCATTTTTCTCATTGGTTGATCCCATAGCTACATCGGGGTTGTTTGACCATCTTGGTCCCGTATAGATCACGATATTCTTGTTGGTTGCGCTTGCAATCAACTTTATAATATTCGTGCATCCTGATCTGGTACACCATTGCATCAGATGATTTAATGTTATCATGAGGGCCCAAAGCATTGTCCCTAGGATGGTCGAGACATTCGATTTACGACGTCTAGCGAAAGAAATTTTGGTCACGTGGAATGTCATATTTGCTTGGAAGATTTTGAGGAAAATGAAAAAGTTAGGGTATTACCTTGTAGTCATATCTAGCACCACAAATGTATAATAGAGTGGATAGTTAGAGATATGACTTGTCCCAATTATAGTACGTAGTAGTAATTTGTAATAAGTTTCAAACGATGACCAAGTAATAAATAATACACTACTACTTCTTTGCTAGAATTCTTACACGTTAATAATTATTCTTGTTTTATACATACATATTATGTCTTTTTGATTAATTTTATCTTAGTTGCTAACTTCAAAATTTGAAATATATATATATATATATATATAAAGTACCAAACTTCGATCTTAATATCTTTTATTTTCTCACGTTTATATCAAGTATAAGAATTCAGTTCGATTCCAAGCTTTCGATCTATCTTAATATCTTTTATTTTTGCTGAAACTATCTTATTGAATCGAAGTGTTTAATACAATACCATACCAAACAATATAAATTGTATAACTTGCTAGTAGCTCTATTTGTTTTTTTGATGTTTAATTTGTTTGCATGGCAAATCTTGAAATTGACCGAATCACTATAGGGACTAGGAGACAAGACTTGTTTTGGAAGGGAAAAAATCTGGAATAAGATGCAATTATCCCCCAAATGTATGGAGTTTTTGTAAGGAAAAATTGTATGAAATAGCAAACTATTAATTCAAATTAAATGTTATAGCTATAGTTTATTTTAATTGTAATTTGCAGCAAACATCCCATTTGTTTGCCATCTGATTCGGTATACAATTAGCAATTTTCGGTATACAATTAGTCATTTTATACATTTCGGTATAAAATGTTTTTGTGTTTGTATAAAGC